ATCCGCAAAGGCTAGAAATGCTCACAGAAAAATCTTTGCAGGTTCCCCTTCATCAGGGTTTTCAGGATGACTCTTTAAACTTCAAATTCTATCCTTGGTGACACAAAGATGCTCAAAGGGCCTGAATCATGGCTGAGCTGTGGTAGTAGCTCGGCAGTCAAATGGACCAGCAGGTCAGGGTCCTTGGTGTGCTGAGGTGGAGAGTAAGTAGACGGGATTAACAGCTAACTAAAAAAAAGAAATCCAGGGAGAACTGCCATGGATGAACATGGGGGCAGCCACCGTGCCCAGGTCAAGCCCTGAACCCAAGCACCCACAAGAGCTCTGAGCCTGGGGCTCTGGCTTCTCAAGAGGAAGATCAGACCCTGCTCAGGACTGCAGACCAGAGAGGGAGGAGCGTGGCCCCTCACCCATGGGCTGGGGCTGCAGAAAGTATCCAGCTGAGACCCTCGCAGCCCAGGGGACATGGTGTTCCCAAAGAAAAGAAGCTGTGCCAATCCGGGGGCCTTTCCTGCCTCTCTTGCCCAAGACCTCTGGAGATCCAACCTGTGCATTCTCAGTCTCTGTTCTCTTGACTGGTTTTGGCTGGGAAGGAGCTGATAAGGCCTATGGCTTGGGGCTTAATTTCTCTAAAGGGTGTGAGTACAAGTACAGTTCTAGCTAGTTGAAGGCTCGTGTGCGTGGCTGGTAATGGTGTTGCTGAGCTCACAGTGGGACTCTGAACTCCTCTGGGAAGCTGGAGCCCCTGAGGGCTGTTACTGCAAGCTGAACTCTGTGTTTCCATCTATCTCCTGGCCAGCCCTGGCCTGGGGACATGCAGCAATGACAACCACAAATGTGCATTTGAAAGCGGATGGAGCAGATAGTGCACGTTCAGCACAAGAGCAAGCAGGAGAGCAGCTCAGAAGATATCCTCAGAGGAAGAACACGGAGATACCAGAATAGTTCCAGGATCCTGAGCTACTAATATTTCAGATATTAGCTGCTGTTTGTGCAAGTGTGTGATTAAATGGCCAGGCAATTTTGGTTTCTTTTGGCAGCAAATAGTCAGGATCAACCAGTCTAGACCATGAGAGGACCACTACATTTTGAATATGATCCAAAAGATGTTTCCATCGCCTGGTGAGAACAGAACTGAGAAGCCTGTTTCCTTGAGCCTTTTTTTCTGGCTGATTTAGTTCTGAGGAAGTGGGAGAACCATCCTGCACAGCAGAGCTGAGGTCTGCTCACCCATCCATCCTCTCAGGATTTCCCCCTGCATCTCTGCTCCCTGACCTAGTACGTGGAGGGTGAATCCAAGTCCTTGCTGGAAGCATGTTCTTATGGAAAGGACACCTGGAGTGCTACCAGCAAGCTGCTTGCAAATGGCCTCTCATTTTGTAGGTCTGTTCTCTGCATGGTTGGACTGTTCCTCGTGCCTTGCTGAAGTTGTGCCATATGGAGCAAATGCCTCAACGTCTGTCTGTGTGTCTGCCTGACCGTGCAGCCCAAGAGCTCTTCTCCTCTCTGCAAATGATGCTCTGATCTCATTGTCCTCAGGAGATGCGGATAGTCCCAATACAGGCTTTTCTTCACCTTTCCCAAGCCTATTTTTTTTCCAGCTCCCCCAAAGCATAAGGACTATCACCAAAGCCCTGGAACTGGCTAGCTGCTGGGGAAAGTGGCTTGCAGGGTTATCTCTGTGCTTCCTCCCTCTCTTGCCTATATGTAACACTGGGATTGGGTTTAGCTTTGAGCAGTGCAAAGTGTGACAAAAAAAAAGAAAGAAAAAATCTCTCATCCCTTCCTTCCTTCTCACTGCCATTTAAGCAGCTTGAGTCTGCTGGCCCACATGGGGAACAGAAAGGCAACTCTAGAGGATCTGAGCCTGCAGGACTGAGCATCCTCTCCTACCATGCTCTGCAGGACATGCAGCTGGCTTCTGGAATATCGGTCAAACTTTGACTCTTTTCCCGCCTTCCTAAGAGAAGCCACGACAAAAGCCTCGGCGCAGACCTCTCCTCAGCACGGTGGCTTTCCCCACAAGCTGCATGCTTGCTCACGTTCGCGTGTGTGTGACTCCTGGGTGAATAACAGCGCTCCCAGGCTGTGCGGTTTGTCAAGTCGCACCTCACCCTCTCTGCCTGCCTTGTTTTCCTCAGGCTGATGCGCTCCTGAGTAATGGCAGTCACTGCTTCTTAATCAGAAAGCAATTTAAGGATAACCTTTTTTAATTAACAGTGGGGAGAAGAATGAATAAATAAACTGTGAAGCAGCCAGCTGGCGGCTTTGTCCCCAGCAGAGGGGTCTGTCAAGGGAGAGAAAACGTCACTTGGGGACAGGGAGGGCGGGTTGGAGGGCTGAAGTAAAGGTGGGAAGAGGCTGAGATGCTACCCAGAGACTTTCACTTCAGCTACGCTGCTATGGTCGCTCACAGGGGAACTGTGACTTGAACCATGCAGGAGGGACAGCTGGCTCTATCATTTCAGCCCTCTGTATAATTAAAACTCCGAGAAACTCTTTTAATCAGCATTTTAAAATGGATGCAAATAAATAGCTCATTGTGAGGTTGCTGCCACAGTTCTCCACGTGTTAACCCTACTTTTAAGAGCAGCACCTTTCCTCCCAGGGTGAAAGGGAGGTGGAAGGATGCCTGGCAGCATGAATGGCTACAGGACAGGGGCACCAGGCAGGAGAAAGCCACGGCTCATGGCGAGCAGGGGATCGTAGGGCCCCGCACGTTGATACGAGCGAGGCCTGGTCGAGAAGGGGCTGCTGCGTCCCCCGGCCCCACACCTCGAGCCCGAGCTGCGCTTCGCGCCCTTAAGATGGCGTAGGGTGATGAAGACTACATTTCCCAGCGTGCGCAGCGGCCCCGCGCCTTGCCCATTCCCGGCATGCGACGCGCGGCGGGGCG